TCCTCTCCCCGCCCCCCTCCCCGCCCCGCCGTGAGTCTCATTTAAACTGCCCAAAACATTTATGGTGAAATGCACAGGCTGATAATTTCCTCGGTTGTCCCTGACAAGGGCTGGCTGTCGCAAGGGCTGACCGCCACCTCAGATGCAGGCAGAGACATCTGCAGCTTGGATTGGATTCCCAGAACCGCGGCTCAGTGCTGCTCACCCCGTTTGCTTGGCATCTTCTTGCTCTCCCTGAAAAGACTGATCTATTGAGCCACCTTCCTGCAAAGCAGGGCCTCCAGCAGGAGCTGCCTCTGGGCGCGTAGCCCTGTGACCAGCTAAGCTTCCTTCTCAGGGCCTTCCAGGGCTTTGTCACAGCAGAGAGCTGAGAGCAGGCAGGGGACGAGGAGAAGAGAACTGGGCAGGGAGAGGCAGGGGGAGCTGTTTGGTTTCTGGCTTCAGAGTGAGGCAATCTCTTGCCAGAACGCTAGATATACAGAAATTATTGATTTGTAAAGCAGTGTTTCTGGCTGCCGTGAAAGTATCTTCTGAAGTTGTCTTCCAAAGGGCAGGATGTAGCAAGTGGGAAAAATCTGCTTGTCAGTGGGCAAATATGGAGTTGATCGTCCTGAGTTGGGTTGTAGTGAAAACTTGAAGCATTTGCTAGCTGAATCCATTGACAGGGTAGGTATTTCAAGAATGATCTCAGTGCTGGGGTTTGCGTTTGATAACTGTTAAAAAAACCCTTCAATGTGAAACATCCAAAAAGATAAGAAATCTAAAAAAATGTATTTTTATGGGAAGTAGTTGCTTTGAATTGTCCTTTGATAAGCCATTACCAGTGGTGGTCTGCTGCTTTCTTTTTACTTTTTTCTTCTCTCAACTGATCTAATAGCATTCTTGTCTTCCTTTTCAGGATCTGATGAAGACTCTGAAGAAAAACAAGACAGTGAAAAACCAGTTGTATAGCAAACTTGAAAAAGCAGGCAAGTTCCTTTGCATAGAACATGAATATTCCTAAAAATATTTTTTTCTTCTTCTTAGTTCCTTTCCAAATAATTTGAACGGTGGGCTAACTCTTAGGAGTTCATCATCTTTGAACCCAGTCTTAGCAACCTTCAAGCAGGAAATCCTGCCAGGCTCTTGAGAACCTGTAGTTGGGGTCCTCTGCTGCTGGGCTCTGGTTAACTGGGGCCCAGGGGTCTGAGCGTGCTGTTCTGGAGCATAGTGTAAAAGGCTGCAGGCTCGGGATGGAACACCTCCAGCATGTATTTGTTGGCTGTTCAGGGGAGGACAGTGGTGGACCAGATGTGTAAAAGCTCCTTTTTTTGGAAGCGGGGAAGAGGTATTTCTTTGGAGACTGCAATGCAAGGATGCTAGGAAGACCTTTTCTTTTAGTTTAGGTCTAGGACAAATACGCTCATCTTGAAGATTGCGTGGGCAAAGCTACTTCAGTATTTCCCCTCCTCGTTCTATTTAATACTGCAAATGGGCTACACTGGAGCAGCTGCATCTTAAGATTTTTGTAGTGTACTTTGGTTAAGTATGAGAGAAGATTTCCTTATTTTTGGAAATTACTTAATTTACTTCTGGAATTATCTTGCCCCATGCGTTCACTTCACCACACATGGCAAAGCTCAGGCTAGGGGGAGGTATTAAATGTTCTTGAGAAGCTGAAGCTTCTGATTTGGAATCTTCTGGTGCTCGTCTGGAAGAGCGAATGACCTTTTAATTTCAGGCTCCCCATCTACAGGATCTGTTTTCATGACTCGCATCTTCTTTCACCCTGACTTGTAATCTGTTACAGAAAGAACATCTCTGAGGGAAGTTGTTGGGGCTTGGAAACTGGCAAGAGAGTCTGTGGCTGACTAGCTGGTGGAGCTGCTGACAGGAGAATTTATTCATTAGAAAGCAAAGGGAATGGTTCCCATGTACTGTAATACCTCACAAAGATGTACCTTGTTGACATATGTATATTAGGTTGCCTCCCAGGTGGCATGAAAATATTTGTCCATGATGTATTTTATTATTCAGTGATTCCTGAAGTTGATCCTTCTAATGACTAGGTAATTACTGGAAAGTGTTGTCTTGTGTACCTAATCAAGAGACTGGTTAATATAATGAAGTAAAACTTCTCTATGGTGGAAGTATATTTAATGATTGTTGGGACTCACCAGGTAAAATTATTTTATGTTCTTGTAAATTTGTCATTAGTTTTATGTTTACTTTTTTTAACTCCATGCATTTTCTTTTTTAATGGATATGTTCACTTTCTAAAATAAAAATGTTAAAACATGAGTAAGGCATTTTGATATTTTGTTGCTTTATCAACTGAAAATCTGCATGTACCACTCCTTTATTTCTTGTGGAGTAACAAGGATTCCAGTTTGCATAGATTTTGTGCAAAATGTGTAATAGTGCTGGTTTTGGCTGCCTGCAGGGGTGCAGCAGTAGTGCTAGTGGAACATCATTGCTTTGCTGCATATATGGTATCTAAAGGATGCAAGGAGCATTTTGAACTTAGTTCCTACACCTGTACTGGTGGTGGACGTTCTTCAGGTTCAAGGAGGTAACTGGAGTAAGTGAGCCTTTGCAAACACTGGTATTGCCCCAGCAGGGAAAGGAAGGTGTAGTCAATCGTTCGATTTAGGTGTGTAAGAATGACGTATGTGTTTTCAGGTACAGATCTTAAGTGTTAACCAGTGCTTGATCAAAAAAGTTTTAGGTAACACCTGATTCCTACCTAAGGAGGAACCTAAGTGTTGTCGCTTTCCTTAATAGGTTTTATTAGCAACTGTTAAGTACCAACGTATTCTTCACATGTTAACTCACGCATACGGGCTGTTTCGCTTTGTAGTGTTTCCGTTGCCGTGGAACAGAAGCACAGTGGCTAGACGACAGGATGGGCTGTGCTCTGTCTCTCCAATCACAGCTTTTCCTTGAAGCAGCAGTGACTGTTTCAGTTTACAGGATTTTTCCACTAAAAGCAGAAACCAAAAGCCAGTCCTCAGAGCATTAAAACATACATTGGCTTCCCCTTATTTGGTCTCAACAAATGCATAAACTAGTGGCAGGGGCTTGTAAGCCACTGCAGCTGTCAAACTCGCCACCATGAACTGAAACTGCAGCTGGCTGCCTATGCTCAATGCTGTTCAGGGCTGTGTGGATGCAGGATTTCTTTTCTCTTTTCAGCTTTGGGTATGAGGCGTTGCGAGTGGGCCGGGAGATCGTTTATTAGAAGTGGACTTGAGTGGTGAGCGTGATCACTCACTTCAGTTGTCCTCTTGGAGATGAGGCTGCAGCATCACAAAGACTTTGCTGGGGGCAGTACTGGGGCAAAGGAGAGGAAGAGATGGAGATGAAAGCTATTTTATTTCACTTTAGTGTTGCTATCAAGCATTAACACCTGCCTTTTTGCTCCAAATAACAGTTCTGTAAGTAAGTGTACGGCTAAAAGATTCGTCAGTCTGTCCTCCTGCACATTTGAAGATAATATATGTTGGAGGCAGCCAGGGGTTACATTGGCTTCCGTATGCTATTGCTAAAATTCTCTTCTGTGACTGCTGGATGAAAAAAAATAAGCCTGGATCAAGTCTTATCACTTACTTCAGAATACTCAAGATCTGTTTCAGAGGATGCAGGTAAGAATAAACCACTAGAAGAAAAAAAAATAAAGCAAAGCCTGTCACTTAACAATGCTGGAAAGTTCCTAACCTAGCAAATATTAAACTCTGTGAGAAAAATGCATCTGGGGTAGGAGGTCAGAAGGTCCGTTAAACCTATGAACTTCATCGAGGCGCATGGCTTTATTTGATCGCCTGCCTCAATCGGCAGTATGGAAATCCTCTGGAAATCTAAGAAATGCAACTGGTTCTCAGTGCCTGCCTCCTCCTGCAGTTCAGTACTTGGAAAAATTAGGGGAGGGGAATTAATACAAAATCATTAGCTGGAAAGCAGAATAAAAAACATGCACTACCGACAGAAAATCCTTGGGGGAGGAGGTATTTGTATTTTGTTATACCAAACATGAATTAGTACAGGGCAAATGTAAGGTGAAGATTTTGCAAGCCTCTCCTGAACCAGCAAGTGTTCTTCCTGTGGTGCATGGTTCAAGTTCTCTGTTTTGTTAAATGAGATGCCCCATTTTCATACATAGGTAGTTTGCCAGGGAAATGGCTCCCTTTGGCACATCCACAAACAGTTCTGGTTGCTGCCATGAGAGGTTGTATCCCCTGGAAATCTAAAATACATCAGTTGCGGTTTAGAAAGGAGTTAAAACACTCAATGTGAAATAATTTTGTTCGTTCCTCTCAAATCTACCTGTAAATCCTGCAAAGTTGACTCAAAAACTCAGTTGTTCAATCCTGCCCTTCCCAAGGATGCTTCTCCTCTCCTCAGGCAGCCCCAGAGGCTTCTGAGTTTTTTTCTAGTTTTGAAAAGCAGAATCTGTAAACTGTTGTGAACAGAGCAAATATGGCTGTGTGCTGTTTGTGTGTGTTGGGTTTGCTTTTTATTGGGCTTGAAAATGAGATATGAAACTAGTCTTGTTTCGAAAAGCAGATTTGAATGAATAATCTAAAAGGAAAAAAAAAAAACCACCCAAAACCCAGCAACCTGTTGACCAAACTGACACCATTGGCTGGTTGTCCTTTTGTAATCCATGATAGGCTAAAGAATGTTTTGATTTACAATTTATTGCAATCTTAATTTCAAACCCATTTGGCTGTAAAGGCTTCCTGCATTTTTTTCCCCTTAGGAAGACAGTTAACCTGTATCGGATTGCTTAAAGCTCTGAACTATCTAGATTTAAAAAAAGCTGTTTCAGCCTTATTAAGAGTTTTTCATTTTGTGCCAGAAACTTGATACTGTGTAATCAGGTTTCCATTAAATACCAAAAAAGGGGGGGTTTGGGGAAAGGAACATTACAACTTAAAATACTTACAATTACCTGGGTTGTTAGTTTTGTGGGGGATAAGAAAGCTGCAGAAGGGTGCGATCAGGAGCTGGCATTTGTTACAAGGCGTGAGAGTGCACACTACCCATCTGCTGCCACACTTAATGTATTTAAGCACGTTTGTGCATACCTATAGACGTTTCTCACCTGTACGCATGTCAGAGTCCAATATCCTCTAAACAGGTTCTTTCAGATGTTCCACAGAGGGAACTTTTCATGTTTAATATCATATTTACTTACTTGATATTGGTATTTGATTAATTATATTAGGCATTACATGTGATTTGGATTTAGAAGAGTGGTACTACAGCAATATGCTGAAATCACAAGAGAAGCACGCTATAGCAAGGGCAATATGCACTGGAATCACAATGCAAATGTGATTCCTCTTACCAGTCCCTATGTGCTCCACTGTCACGGGACCCCCAAGCACCAGGCATATGGGTCAAGGTCAGCTCGAGCCAGTTGCTTGCTTCAACTTCCGTTTTGTTGGTTGATCAGTTGTTTGTTACACTCTGTGCAGGGTGAGCCACGTACCCCCCTCCCCTGGCTGGCTCAGGAAGATGTGATGCTCCAGCAGTTATCTCATTGGCAGTATTGCCATCAAAAGGTGCCGGGGGAGTCGGAGGAAGGTGCTTTCTGGAACAGTGTGGGTTTTGTCCATAGCCTACTCCCTTCAGAGAGTGAGTGCTATTAAGAACTTCCACTCTTTTCAAGCTGGTGCATCATCAGTGGGAAACAAGTGACACCTGCAGTGGCAACCCTGAAATACGTGAAGTCATGCTGCCCCTGTGTTGAGCTTTGCTTGAGGCCAGCAGGTGCCAACAAGTGACACCTGCAGTGGCAACCCTGAAATATGTGAAGTCATGCTGCCCCTTGGCTTTGCTTGAGGCCAGCAGGTGCGTGAGTGGAATCAACCTTTTGGACTTACTTCAGATGCTTTCCTGTTGCAAACTGCTGCCTTTCAGTGTTATTTCTCAAAGCAAGGCAGGTTTTGGGACTTTTGCAATCCAGCAAAAAAAAAAAAAAAAAAAATCCAGAGTGTTAGTGCCTCTGCTTGTACCAGAGCTGCTTTCAAACAGAACGGGTATCTTTACAGTGCAGAACTGCAACTTGCTTTCTTTTTTGGTTTGGATGCTAGATACTTCTTGGACTTACAGAAATGCTTTCCCTGCTGAGAGACAGCCTTGTATGTAGCAGATCTCCCTAGGCCTACTCATTAAATTGGAGACAGTTGTAGTTCAGTGATCACAGATGATTGTCTGTGCTGCTAACTCTTTGCATTCATTTTGGCTGTTTGTTCAGAAGAAACCATCAGGCTCTAGCTGAGTTGTGCTTATGGTGCGTATTCTGAAGATGAAGAATACTTTGGGGGTTTGGAGAGCATTTGCATGTACAAAACATCTGCTAAAAACCTCATTTGCCATATGGTGGAAAGCACATCTGCTTCTCGTTGACTTCCTCTAAGCCACCCCTGCAGAGCAGCACCAAGGGCCTCCTTGTGATAATTCAAGTTTGTGATGGTCTCAGGGAAGGTTGGGGGTCAACTGAAAGCACAAGCATTTTTTTTTTCCTGCCTGAGTAAGACTAATGGCTTCTTCTCACACTGGAGCCTGTAGTCAGATTGTCAGCTGCAACTATTCTTTGAAAAGAGCCTCATGGGTGCATGCTCATGCGCTGCCCATCAGAGGATTCCTGTTTCGCTTTTCAGACTCCTTTAAGGGAAGGGCTTTGCCTTATTTCAGCAAGGGGGCGGAAATACTGCAAGACCAACTCCTGCAGTTACATGCTTTGCATGTACACTCACAGTGGAGGTACTGTCACACAACAGTCATTCTTAAAAAAAAAAGCAAGCTAAGTTAGAGCTTAACTTAATTGAAATGCGAATGTTGTCTCCTTTCACAATTAATTAACCCAATTTTATTCTATTAGCTTGTTGCTTAATAGTGAAACTCAAAGCATAAGTGGAGATTTTGTTCAGGAATGTCAGTGGTTTAGACATAGCTAAAACAATTTTTTTATTCTTTGATCAACAGAAGGAAAATAGACCATTTGCTATCATGTAAATATATTAAATCCCCTCTTTCTTTCCTTCATCAAGATTCCAGCTTTATCCTCTACTAAGTAAAGCAGAATGTTGCATGAATGGTTTTTAGATATGCACCAGTCTGTAATAACTACTTGCTCAACATCTCTCAAAAACTTTATACAGGTCAGGCAGGTTAGCAAGCTGCAAAATGTTGCCATCTTCTGTGAAGTGTTTAGGAGGTAAAAGATGAGTCCTAAAAGCTTTGTAAAGTACATGTTCCACAGTCCATTTCCACGTTGTTGAACTAGAGTCAGAATCTTCATTCTGAAATACAGAAAAAAAGACAAAAAATTACACTGAAATTCTCTTTTACTAGAGGAGAGCACTCAAACTTCATTATGTGAGACTAAAGCAATTGCAAAATTCTGTAAAATGCTAGTATTAGAGAAGAATTTCATTCTATACGGTCAAGTTAATTTTAAGCTTTGGAAAGCCACTGGCTAGCTTCACTGAATTATTAAGCAGATACTTTGACACAAGCAGACTCTGGTTTTAATTTATATGCATCCTTATTCTTCTACAGAAATTTATCATAGCTCAGCAGGTTAAAAAAAATACATCCCAAACTCAGAGGCCAAGGACTGTTGTAGTATCAAAGTACAGTGCAATACCCAAAGTTGAAAGGTTCTTTTAGTACATATAATACTTGAGAAAATTCAAGCCACATTCGTTCAGAATCTTGCCCCACTGCTACTTTATCACTTCACTGGAAATAGAATCTGTAGTTTGAAAAAGAAGTTGCTTCCCATGTGCTGGTAGCTCATTTGACTAGTGACATATTCTTGTACCTGAGAGTTCGTCAGGTTGGCTTCATCTATTATATATTGCTTTCTAATGGAGTAGAACATAGCTAATTCTTTACTTAGGGTTTCAAAACACTCCTTTTCTTCATCCCAGTTTACCTGTTACGAGAAAAAGAAATCATTTAATAGAATCATTGAATAGAATCTGGGTAGCAGTCAGAGACTCAATAGAGGTTCTCCCTATGGAAAAGTTGTAACAATGTCTTGGCAATTAGTTGTGCTGATAAGGTAAAGATATAGAACAAAAAAAAAAAAAAAAAAAAAGGGAAAAAAGAAGGGTTTAAA